GCTGACTGGAGACCCTGCAGATAGTCTTTATGTTTTGAGGAAATTATATTAAAAGTGAAAGTAATGACCTCCACTTGCACCAACTGGTTGAACATTACCTTTAAATTTTCTTTTTAAATTGATCAAGTGCTATGTAGTCGTTGTAAAAGACACAAATGCTATAGAAACACACTTCTGGACTCTCCCTCCTTCACAGCCTACCACAGATTATTGCACTGCTGTGATGATTACATGTGTGACTTTCAGCATAAGATTCATGGTATATATTCCAAGGATATAGTGTTCACTTCTTGCTCAAACAATACACGCTTCTTGACCGTTTCCCTAGCTATATCACAAACCTCTGTGTGTAGCTTCCATCTGGGCTATCACATTGTCCACTTGGGCTTTGGGGCAAAAGAGGAATCAAGGCCAGTACACTGATGCTTATTCTGCTCATTATACTGTGAGTAACCAAGTCCTTTGTTTCTGACCCCAAGTCTCACGTCTTGTGCCCACATCTGTGAAACAGTTAACAGCTAAGCTCCTTAGCTTGCAAGGAAGGTAAAGTCTGTGAATCTTCACAGTTATTAACAATTGTTTAAGAAAAAAATCAATGCACTATGAAGTTTATAACATATGTAGAAGTTAAATGATTGTGATAGAATAAACAATGAAAGAGATTAAATGGAAATGTATTTATTGCAAGTTTTTTATGGATGCATGTTATAATCCCTAGAGCAATGCTGTCTAACAGATATATACCATAAACCAGAAATGCAGGCCATATATGTAACCTTAAATTCCCTAGCTGCCACATTGGAAACATAAAAAAGAGGAAGTTAATGTTAGTATTTTATTTAACTCAGCGTCTTCAAAACACTATCATTTCAACATTCAATCCACATAAAAAATTCAGTTATGTATTTTACATTCTTTTCTTATACTAATTCTTTGAAAATGAGTGTATACTTAAACCATCAGCATAATCTGTTCGTTTTAGCTCCATTTCAAATGCTAACGTAGCTAGAGACTAACCTATTGGACAGCATAGCTCTAAAACCACCACTAACAACATCAAACAAGGAGATGGCTGAAAAGTGGACAGAGATGAAATGGAATACTAAAGAAATACTGTATTAACCCAGAAGAAGTCAGGAAAGAAAAGAACAGGCTGAGAAGCGATGGCACAAATGACACATTTGGATATCACACACTAATTCTTCACCCCCAGGAAGGAGGAAAGGTGAGCACGGAGGCTCAGGTTGTGCAAAGAATTTTAGTCCTAAACATGCCATTGGTAATCTCTGGGGATTTAGACAAGAGACCTCATCCTTCTCGATTTGCATATATTTCTTTATCATGTAGTTGTATCTGTTTATGGCAGTAATAAGTGTTACATTTCAGAAAGTGGATTTGGATGTTAGCCCCAGATTTGAATCTGGACTTTGCCCTCATGTGACTTTGGGCAAATTGCTTAATTGCCCTAAAGTTCAGTTCTTTCTTCTCCATAATGGGTATTATATAACGCCTACCTTAAATCCACATAAAACACAGTGTCCATCATTTTCGAAGCCTTCAAGAATATTAAGTTGTTTTATTATTATTATTAAGCCAACTAGGACCATGAACTATGGGTTAGACACCATTCAAGGCAGTGATGACTCAAGGTGAATGGCAAAGTCTCTTTCTTCAATAGAGAAGCCAGACACCTACCTGACTGCCTACTAACATGGCTATTATGAGGCTATAGTAGGAACACAGAGAGACGCATTAAGGTAAAAACACGTGTTCCTTATGCCAGTGTTCATACTGTGATGTGTAAACTTTTTTTTTTTTTTACAAAATACAGTATCCAGGGAGCCTGGAATAATCATGAATAAAGTTCTGTTCTGGTCATTATTTCAAAAAACTAACAGACTTTATTCTACAAGTGAACGAAGAGCAAATTATTCTCCTTTAAGATATGACTCAGTGGTAAAAAATCTGCCTGCAAAGCAGAAGACCTGGGTTCAATCTCTGGGTCAGGAAGATCCCCTGGAGAAGGAAATTGCAACCCACTCCAGTATTCCTGCCTGGGAAATCCCATGGACAGAGGAGCCTGGCAGGCTACAGTCCATGGAGTTGCAAAGAGTCGGACACAAATGAGTGACTAACACTTTCACTTAACTTAAAAGAGCAGTTTCTATTTGTTCACTAGGAAGCTCCAATCTTCTGAATCTTACTATTGGTAACTAGTATTTTATTGATATTTTTCTTCACTAGCATCCTTTTACAAAAGTACTGTGGTCATTCACGTATCTTACCTAGCCCCTAGTTTATAAAGTGAGAGTTAATCCGTAAAGATTACCAAGTTTTTTATGCCAAATATATAACAAGCACTTTTTCATACCTACTCAATCTAGTTTTGTTTTCAAGCCTGAAACATGGATTTAGCAAGCTGCCTTTAATAGATGAAAGTCTGGGACTTGTGAAGGTCATACAATGGTCTGTGGTGGGGCCAGAATGTGGATGAAGGTCAGCCTGATTCCACCCGCCCCTTGTAACGCTTCCTCTCCTGGTGGGTGCTTAGGAGAGGTTGAGCAATAGTATTCCCAATTTGTTCAGAGTATGAGGAATGGGTCACACATCTTCAGTTGCTCTTACCAAATATCTGAAGACTCTCCAAGCAAATCATATGCTCCAGGTTACAGTGGCAACGGCAGCAGCAACGGTCTGGGGCCACAAGTTCACTGTCCAGAGTGGCAGCCAGAGCGATACCCCTGAAGAAGTCTCTACGTGACTTTTAAGTTGCGTGCGTGGGTTCTGAGTCACTTCAGTCCTGTCCGACTCTTTGCAACCTTATGGACTGTAGCCCACCAGGCTCCTCTGTCCATGGGATTCCCCAGGCAAGAATACTGGTGTGGACTGCCATGCCCTCCTCCAGGGAACTCTTCCTGACCCAAGGACCAAACCCACATCTCTTATGTCTCCTGCACTGGGACGCGGATTCTTTGCTACTAGCACCGCCTGGGAAACCTGACTTCTAGTTTAATCATCTACAATTACAGAGAAATTATTCATGTTTATATAATATCTTATATCAACAATTCTTATTTTTCTATATTACAAGCACTAAATATTTCTATATTTTCTTAACAGTCTGTGTCATCCTCTGGGCAAACCTAAGTCTCAAACAAATCTCATGGCAGAGTCTTCCTTACCTGCACCAGCTTATATAGCCATTTACACCAAAGATAAAGAGCACTGGGCAAAAAAGGAGGTAACGGTAAATGTTTGTTGATTGGATTTTCATGAAGATCAAATTCAGCAGCCTCTTACTTTCTGTTTCTCTTGTGTAAATCTGACATTCATCATAGAAAAATAGGCACTGGACATACATGAGAATTTACAAAGGAATAAATACACATGACCAATAATAATAACATCAAAAGTGTTTAACTGTATTAGTGCTGAAATAAACATGAATAAATTGAAGGAGAAACCAATATTTAGCTACTAAATCAACAAAAACCTTTTAAAAATAATAATACCTCATTGCTGAGGGGATCATTATACTGTTTCTGGAAAACTGTATGATAGGATGTATCAAAAGCCTTAAAATCTGGTGATTCTTCACCTTGCTGTGCCCCTGAAATACTATAAATCAACTATAATCCAATAGAAAATATATATATTAAGAAAAAAAATCTGGTGATTCTTTTCACAAAGCATTTCACTTTTAGGCATTTACCCCGAGGAAATAATCATGGCGGCACAAAAATGTAGAAAGAAGAACATTCATGGTAGCAGTATCTCCCATTATGCTGCTGTTAACAACAGTCTAAATGCCTAAAGTGTAAACTGATTAAGTAAATCATGATCAATCCATGCAGTGGAATACTATACAGTTACTAAAGTCATGTCATGGAAAGTGGAGTGAAGTCACTCAGTTGTGTCCAACTCTTTGCGACCCCATGCACAGTAACCTATTAGGCTCCTCTGTGCAGGGGATTTTCCAGGCAAGAGTACTGGAGTGCATTGCCATTTAAGGGGTTGTCGATGACCAGTGTAAACACTGCAGTGTGTTACTCTGTGTGTAGTTTGTACACTGTGGTTGTGTGTGTGAATACCAAAGAACATTTCACAAAGTGTCAGTAGTGTTTATCTCTGGATGCTGAAATTATGGGTGATTGTTTTTCTTCTTTGTCCAGCTTCCCTGCCCCATCTCCCTGCAGGGGAGGGCTATCTCCAAAGTCCTTCAATTAGGATGTATTACTTTAAGAATGAGAAAAAGAAACTGTGATGTATTTTTGAGAAACAATGACATCACACTTTAGCTTCTTGGGGAGCCCAGACTCTCAGGCAAGGGTGAGCTCTTGCTTTGCCCTCCCTGGGAGATGACTCACTAAGTCCAGAAGTCCAGTCTCCAAGGCCAAAAAGATGAGCTTATTGGGTCACACCCATCCTCTGTATTTCATCCATTCAGTCTAAAGTGTTTTGTTGAGTACCTGCTCTGTGCTAGGCACTAGGGGTACAACAGTCAGGAGGAGAAGAGAGAGAGAGAAAGGAGAAGGGATGAGAAGGAGGGAGGGAAGAAGAAAGACTTCTTACTGTGAGGGCCTCTGACCTTAACCACGTGGGGGCCAGGAGCAGCGCTGGGAACGAGCTTGTTCTGGAGGGAGCTGCCAGGGGTGGCAGAGCTGAGCTCTGAAGGCAGCTCAGGCNGGAGAAGAGAGAGAGAGAAAGGAGAAGGGATGAGAAGGAGGGAGGGAAGAAGAAAGACTTCTTACTGTGAGGGCCTCTGACCTTAACCACGTGGGGGCCAGGAGCAGCGCTGGGAACGAGCTTGTTCTGGAGGGAGCTGCCAGGGGTGGCAGAGCTGAGCTCTGAAGGCAGCTCAGGCGTTAAGGTGAGACAGAGGGATGAGCAGCCAGCGCAAGGCAACAGGACGGCCTGGAGACGCAGGCTCAAGAGGGAGCAGGGTTGCTATAGAGACAGAGAGGGCGGGGCCAGCAGGGGTTGGGGCAGAAGGGACCAGACCACCGGCGAGCCTTGTGGCCACCTTCTGGGGCCCACTGAAGGGCTCTGGATCTGACAGCGGCCGGGGGACCCTAGGAGACCCCGAGGAGCCCCATCCTGGGCGGCGGCAGGCAAACATAAGCAGGAAGAGAGATCCTCATGCAGTCCCAAGGAAATCACCCAGTGATGCATAGACTATTTTTAAGTGACTTCATCTTTGACTCCCTGCCGGGAAGTCTCCGATCTTAAGGTTCAAAAGCTCGAACAAAGGAAAGACCAGCTTTTTGAGCGCAGAGTGACAACGCAGGGCTGTGGCTTCCTAACACAATTAAATTCTAGGTGAGCAGAGGCCACAACCGTGGAAAGCATGGTTTTGCCTGGAAAGTACAAAGTGCCTTTTCCCCGCTTTATTCATCAATAACCCTACAATTGGAGCTGACACATCCAGGCTTCAAAGCGAAAGCAAAGAGCTCAGTTTGTGAATATTAAGCGGCTTGCCGAGAGATGGTCTGACCCTTACGTTTCAGCGGCGTCCAGTGGTGACAGAAAAAGGGCCTAACGTTCATTAGACCCCTTCAGGGCTGGCGGCTCACTGGCCACCTTCTGCGGGCTCTCTCTTCTGAACTTTCAAGGGCCTGTTTTCCATGCAGACTTCACATTTCTAGTGGGGAAGAGATTTCTTCTAATGAGGAGGCATTTATGTCCATCCATTTAGTCACCTGCCATGGGATGCAGGGCCTGGCTTTGGCTGAAAAGAAGTGTCTGCAAACTAGATTACTGAGAAACTTTTGAGCCTAGCACATAGCATTTCTCCCCGTGTTTGCTTTCCTCTAAAAATGTAAGTATTAATTTCTTTTTAAAAGGTGGGGTCTCACACTTCCCTAGGGGTGACCCTCCCAGAGGCCTGAGAGACTGTGGGAAGACGCTACTGAAGACCGTCGCTGGCGGGCACCAACCCTACGAGATGCGCATGTTGCCCACACGACAAACAGTAGATGTGAAGAGAGTTAAAGGGCAAAACCGCGCGGCTCGGCCCTGGAGTGGCGGGAGTGGCGGGAGTGGGGGGGCACTAAACGGTGTTACACCGGAAGTAGCAGGGCTTCCTGCCGTCTGCACAGGAGAGGGGCTGTTGTTTCGGTTGCGCTCAATCTGGAAGCCAGAGTGAGAAGAGACCATGCCGGTGCCCTCCCGCCGCAGGATGGCAGAGACCAGGGTCAGCCCACAGCGGGAAGGAGCAAAGCGGGAAGTATCGCCCAGTATCACGAATACCGGAGAGCAGCCTCCGTCGAATGCAGTGGGCCGTGGAGACACACTGGCCTGGGAGACAGAGTCCTGTGTCGTCAGAGCTGCTGGCCCGCTGTCGGCACGTGAAGGACATTAACGGCCTAAGTCGGCCGGAAGCCCCGTCCGTGCACCGCAGGAGGGCAGCGTGCGGCCCGAGGCTGATCCGCTTTCCCCAGGGCGCTGTACTCCGTTGGGGACCATAGGCCGAGGCCAGCGTGAAACCCTGTCCTGTTCTCACTGCGCGCGCACACACATGCATTCCTGGGGTGTTTAAGTCTCTAGGGAGCCCGTGAGGGTCACGGGGTGGCGAGGAAGCACCTTAGAATCCCCGCAGCAAGAACTCCAGCATCCAGCCCGTCCTGAGACGGCCCTGGGCTCGCCCCGCCGGCCGCCCGGGGCTCGCTCCCCGCAGCGGCGGCTCCCGCCTCGCTGCTTCCCCCCACTCCTTCCCCTCACGCTCTGCATCAGAGCCAGCTCACCTGCTGTCACCCTACCTTCTCCTGTGGGGCGTCGCCCTCATTCCACTTCCGTCGTTGGACTCCTGCCCTCCGTCTCCCTCTCATCCTGCAAGGCTCTCCTGGAACATCAGAGTTTTCTTAAGAGCGCGGGCACTGACAGCCACCCTGATGAGAACATTCTTCGCTGGCAAGAAAAGAAACCCACCATCGCCAAGCGAACCTCTGTGGAAAGAAAGCTGGCGACAGGGAAGAAGAGGGTTATTTAAAAGAGTAGAAGGGAAATCTGAATGAGACAGAACAGTGCGGGGTCTTCAGCAGGGCGTGGTCCAGGGCCTGGAAGTCAACCCCAGAGCTTGGTGGTGTAGTCGGTCACTATTTACATACACATACTATTAAATGCAGGTAACTACTTACATGCAGATAACAATACATACATGTAACATAGTTACATACACGTAAGGACAGAGGATGAGATGCTTGAATGGCATCACCAACTGGAGTGGGTTGCCATTTCCTTCTCCAGAGGATCTTCTCAACCCGGGGACTAAACCTGTGTTTCTCGCGTTGGCAGGCCGATTGTCTACCACTGCGCCACCTGGAAAGCCCCTAGATGCCAAAACAGCCTCTGAATGATGACTCTTTTCATGGCAAGGTCCTTTGACTTACACAAGTCTGCAGCCCAGTCCTCAGATGAGCTGGCCTCCCTCTTGGGGCTTCTCATGGGGCATCTCTCCTGCCGGGCTCCCCCGGTCCTTCACCTGGTGGGTGGGGCTGCTCCCAGGGGTGGAGGGGCGTGGCCTCAGCTGCTCTTAACCCTGACTGTTCAGAGCCCTCTCAACGAGGAGCCCTCAGAGGTCCCTGGAGAAAGGCTCCACATCCCTGTCCTGGAGTCACTACTGGTCGCAGGCTCCCAGGGCCCCCAGCTCTCACCTCCTCAACTCTTTTCACAGCATGCCACCCTTCTGCCCATTCGGACCCTGCAGAGCGGCCTCATCTCTTCTCGCAGAAGTTTACCCCCTTCTCCTCTCCTCTATGGTTTTTCCAGTGGTCATGTATGGATGTGCGAGTTGGACCATAAAGAAAGCTGAGCACTGAAGAATTGATGGTTTTCAACTGTGGTGTTGGAGAAGACTCTTGAGAGTCCCTTGGACTGCAAGGAGATCCATCCAGTCCATCCTGAAGGAAATCAGTTTTGAATATTCATTGGAAGGACTGATGCTGAAGCTGAATCTCCTATACTTCGGCCACCTGATGCAAAGAACTGACGCATTGGAAAAGACCCTGATGCTGGGAAAGATTGAAGGCAGGAGGAAAAGGGGATGACAGAGCACGAGATGGTTGGATGGCATCACTGAATCAATGGAGATGTATTTGAGTAAGCTCCGGGAGTTGGTGATGGACAGGGAGGCCTGGCGTGCTGCAGTCCATGGGGTCGCAGAGTTGGACATGACTGAGCAACTGGACTGACTAACCTCTCCTCTGGGGCTCAGATTTCCCCTTGGGTTTCACAAAAAGCCAGTGGTTCTTCAATTTGAACGGGTGTCAGACCCGCCTAATGGGCTTTTTAAGACACAGTGCCAGCCCCGCCCAGGAGTTTCTGATTCAGCGGGTCTCAGATCGGCCTGCAGCTGAGGAATTTGCATTTCTAACAAGCTCTTGGTGCAAGTTGTTGCTGTGGTCCAAGAATCCTACTTTGAGCAACTCTGTTGAAAAGCAACATCATTGAACAAAACAAAAAAACCAGTCCCCAAATAATCACACCCTTTCCTCTCCCAAGAAATCCAAAGTATCCATCAATGAAGTCAACTTATTTTACTGGTAATTAAGTTCCACTTACTGCGGGAAAAAAAAGTTTTGAAGTTACTTTAATTCTTATTTAAGCCATCAGCAGAAACAGTCAATTTACCCAGTGCGCTCAGAGAAATGCTTTTCCTCCCAGGGGAAATCGCGTTCTCTGCAGCCTCTAAAATCTGCTGGCCCCAAAACAGCCCTGACTCTGGTTTCCTTAAGCTAAGGAGGAGATGGGGTTGGGCTGGGGACCAGGGGTGAGCAGCTTCGCTGTCACAATGCAGGACACCGGAGGACGGGAGCAGGGAGCGAGACTCTTGGCTTTGAATAGGAATCGGGCCGTGACATCAGTAATCCTGCTGCTGACCCCAACCATCAGGCTCCAGGCTTCCTAGGGAAGCCCTGACTTCTCCACCCCTCCCCGCCCTTCCCACTAAGCTGAGCCCAGAAACAGAACCCAGCTCCCGTCTCTGGGCTCTTGCCTGCATCTCCTCTCCAGAGGCCACAGCAGCTGCCCCTCAGGGCACCCCTGCTCCCCCAGCTGAAGTCTGAATCCCGGAGCGGAAGCCAACAGGGCAAGAGCCTCATTGCAGACCTCAGAGGTCCTTCTGCAGCCCCCAAAGACCAGACGCCACGGGCCGGCCCCAGCCAGACCCCTGGTCCATAACCCCGCACCAGAGCCCCGTGGGGACAGTATGCCGCTGATGGAAAACACTTAGAGGCCTGTGGTTCCGCTCTCCTGAGTTCACTGCCCTACTTGGGGGCGGGATTCTAGGGAGGGTGGGTCTGTACTGGGGGCAAGGCTGCAAAGAGGGGCCGCTTATAAGGAAGGGCGGGCTGTGGGGAGGGCGGGGCTACAAGAGGGCTGTTTGGGGGCCCAGCCAAATGGTCATGCGCTACTTGCTGCCCCCGCTCTTTGAGGACAGAAAGTCAAACATCACCCACCCCAGACCCAGACTAGCCTCTCCTCTTGATTCAGGCTCCAAAGTTTCAGGGAACCGCATTCAAAGGCCACTGCTAGCTGCATTTCGGCTTCCCCGGTGGCTCGGTAAAGAATCTGGACACTGCCTGCCATGCAGGAGACCAAGGTTCAATCCCTGGGGCTGGGGGGCGGAGATCCCCTGGAGAAGGAAATGGCAACCCACTCCAGGATTCTTGCCTGGAGAATCCCACGGACAGAGGAGCTTGATGGGCTATACAGCCCCTGGGGTCGCAATGAGTTGGACACAACTTAGAGACTAAATCACCACCAACTGTCTTTTGCTTCTCACAGTGGTTCCCCAGGAGCATAAAATAGGAGAAGTGAAACTGATCATGTTACCCCTTGATGAGGGGGGAGGAGGAAGCAGATGGACAGCGCTGTTTATTGGGCCCTGTTATCGTACTGGTCACACACAGGGTCTCTGCGCCATGAAAGGGTTCGCAGCCCTCCTCCTCATCTGGACTCTGCTGTCCCCCCAGAGAGCTGGCGGGGAGGCCTGGCCCACGCACACAGCCTGCAGGAACGGGAATCTGCAAGTGCTCTACCAGAGCTGCGGTAAGTGCTTTCTGAACCTCGGTTTCTGTTTACAGGAAAGGCAAGGCCCACATGTGTAAGATGCTTGAGCGCTTTATGGGGGTGGGGGGAGGGCAGGGACACAGCGGCTGAATGGGTAGGTGCAGAGCGGGGAGCCCCGGGCAGGAGAGAGCTGAAGAGCATGGCCAGAGGACCGGAAAAGCGCAGCAATTCTCTAGATCAGAAGGGAAAGAAAGACCTGCCTGCAATGCGGAAGACCTGGGTTCAATCCCTGGGTCAGAGAAGAAAGATGGCTACCCACTCCAGTATTCTTGCCTGGAGAATTCCATGGACAGAGGGTCCTAGGGGGCTACCATGCATAACCTCACTAACCTCAGAGCCCGAAAAAGAGCAAACCGGCCTGTGAGTCTACCACGTCGTGAAACCTCGCCAGTTCAGGATCAGGAAGAGAAGGTGCCATCAGCTCAGTTCAGTCGCTCAGTTGTGTCCAACTCTGCGGCCTCATGTACTGCAGCATGCCAGGTTTCCCTGTCCACCACCAACTCCCAGAACTTGCTCAAACTCACGTCCATCAAATCGGTGATGCCATCATGGTGAAGCTTCCATGACCTTCCCCGATTGCTCACCTGGGGCACCGCTCCAGGTTACGTCGTTTGCAAGTTGAGTGAAAAGATCATTTACAACAAAGGAGAAGATTCTTGTCCTTCTGATGACACTGCCAGCGTGCCTCTCACAGCAGCAGCATCATTTATTCATTCAACAAACACTTACCGGCAGCTGCCGATGCCACGGTTCTCTCTAGCTCTGGACATGATAAGAGGTAATGAGCCACGGCTGTTACCCCACCGGGCAAGCGTAGACACCAACCAACACTGCAACCTAGTGAACAGAGTGCAGGGAGGCGCCGTGGTCAGGGTCTGAACCGAGTCTTTGGAGGGTATGGTTGCTCGCAGGGGCCATGAAAACACCGCGGACCCCGCGGACCGAGGGGCTTCCACAGCAGAGGCTGCAAGCCTTGCAAGACCAAGGTGCCAGCAGGCCCCGTTTCTCCCGGGCTTGCCGGTGGCCTCCTCCCCCTGTCTTCACCTGCTCTTTGTTCTGTGCCCGCGTGGTCCTCGTGTGTCTGTGTGCCTTCTCATGAGGACATCAGTCGTATCGGCTCAGGGCCCACCCATTCAGGAAGATCCCCTGGAGGAGGAAGTGGTAGCCCACTCCAGGAGTCTTGCCTGGGAAATCCCATGGACAGAGGAGCCTGGCAGGCTACAGTACATAAGGTCGCAAGGAACCAGATAGGACTGAGCGTCTGGGCACATATACACACATTCAGCTCATAAAGGGGGCCTGAGTGGGGAGAAATGAGCCCAGTCTCAGGGTTGCGTGTTGAATGAAGATGAGAGGGACTGGCTCACGAAGCCATGACCTTGTGAAACATGACATCTTGGCAGTAGATAGGGGGAAAATGCTACTCAGACTGTAGGCAGTGGAGAGCAGATGCCCTTTCATTATCCAGGTCAGCCCCACAATAAGCTGAGGGGGGCGTCAGTGTTACACCAAGCAGAAGCTGGGCCCTCCGACTGCCGCCCAAGGAGCTGCCTCACAGGTGTGCAGACTTGACTCTTTTGAAAAGAGGGAACGTTGAAGATTGAAATACACACATGCCAATTTTGTTTAATGGAGACGGGAAGGAAAGGCTGGGTGCTGGATGTGTTCATCGCCTTCCTCTTGCTCTTCCCTGGGAGATGGGATGCATTCTGCTGGCCTCTTCATTTTCAGGGCAGGATGAGAAGCAAAACTTGAGATGAATGCCCTGCTCAGGATTTGTTCTTCCAGTTCACCCTCCCATAAACGGTTGCCATGGCTGGTCCACCCCTCAGACCAGCCTGCAGCCTGCGTCCAAGCCTGGCAACCACCTCCCCCGCCGCTGCCAGGAGCAGACGCTCCAGGGAAACGGATCGTGTCGCTGCCGCCCGGGGAGAACTCCTCCCTCTGAAGGGGCGGCTGCTCCGTGGAGGCAGTGAGTGATGGCCACAGCCTCGCTCTAAGCACACAGTGGAAGGAAGGGAGGAGCCGAAGCTCTGGTCCAAGAGCGGCGGGAGGAGGAGCCAGGCGTCAGGGTAAACGCCCCGTGGGAAGGGCTGGACTTGAGACAGTGTCCTGCACCGGGCATGTGGTGATGGCTGCAGAAGAGGCTGAGTCTAAGCCACCAGGGAACCTGGCCTCAAGCTTGAGTCCAACCATGTAGGATGATGAGAATAGTGATTACAGCACCTCATGTTCACGAGGGGTATATGTGGCAGGCATCATGCTGAGTACTTTCTAAGCATTAATTTTACTTACAGATGTGTAAACTGAGGGTGCGTGCTAAGTCACTTCAGTTGTGTCCGACTCTTTGCCACCCCATGGACTGTAGCCTGCCAGGCTCCTCTGTCCATGGGATTCTCCAGGCAAGAATACTGGAGTGGGTTGCCATGCCCTCCTCCGGGGGATCTTCCAACCCAGGGATCGAACCCAGGTCTCCCGCATTGCAGACAGATTCTTTACCATCTGAGCCCCCAGGGGAGCCTAGAATACTGGAGTGGGGCACCATGCCCTTGTGTGAGACATGATGAGCAGTGAAACAACAAACTGAGGGTGAGTGATGTCAGGCAACTTTTCTGAGGCCACCAGGCAGCAGAGTGACACCTCCAGTGGCACAGAACGGGCAGTAAGTAAATGTTTGCGGAGTTAAAATGCATTCATCCCAGGCCCACTCTGAATCACCTGGCATCTAGAATGTTGTCAGAAGGCAAATGGCGCAGGGGTGGGAGCGGGAAGGAGCGTTTAGGCGAGGACCGTGTGAGCGAAGGCTGGGGAGGAGGCATAGACTCGGGGGCTGGGGAAGGGCTGGGACGAGGGGAGGGTGAGCGATGCAGTGGGAAGGGTGGGCAGAGCCCAGGGGTGATGGGTGACTCTATGTGTCAGTGTGGCCAGGGCACGGGATGCCCAGATGGCTGGGTAAACTTCGTGTCCTGGGTGTCTCTGAGATGTTTCCAGAGGAGATGAGCGCTGGACCAGTGGGCTGAGTAAAGCAGATGGTCCTCCCGTTGCGGGCAGGCAGCTCCCCAGCGGTGAGGCCTGACGCCCGCACAAAGGCGGGGGCAGGGAGTATTCACTCTCTGCCCGACTGTGAGGCTGGGGTGCCTGTCTCCCACCTGCCGTCCCCCCCACCCTGGGCCTCAGGCCTTCAGGCCACACCACCGGCCTTCCTGGGGCTCCGGCTTGCAGACGGCAGACGCTGAACATCTCAGGTTCTGTTGTCACATGAACCTACACCGTGTAACAAGCCTCTTTCCAGGACAGATACGGACATGTGGCATGATCACCAACATGCCATGGCCTGTGCGGGGGTTGGAAAAGAATCTCCAGGCAGGGTGAAAGGAGAATAAAATTTATTAGAGTGGGAGATGCTGTTAGAACAGCGGGCTGGCTCCAGGGAGAGCCAACCCTTTCAAGGGCTAGTAGCCAATGTTTATAGCCTCGAGACAGAAAAAATTCCTACTGGAAGGGTGCATTAGGTGATGGGTTAGGATGCTGTAGGGTGGATGCTAACAGGGTAGAAATGTTATCTAATATGGAGTCTGGGAACTGGCCACTGGCTGGAGGCCCGTGGCAGCAGCTGCTATGGGTTCGGTCAGTTCCAGAGATGTTGGTACAGGACTCCACGCAGAGGGCATAGGTTCAATCCCTGGTCTGGGAACTAAAATCCTCTATGATGCATGGTGTGGCAAAAGGGAAAAAAAATCAATAATCCAGGAAGGAATTGCTGGGAGCCTAAATTAGCCTCATTTCAACAGCCTTAATGTCAGAAGGAGACTTTGGTGTACGCCGGGGTCAGCAGATAGGAAAGTGGTGTCCTGGGTGCTCCTCCAGAGATGGGTCTCCCTCCTGTCTTGCCAGCCATCAAGCTGCGGAGAACCGAATGGCTGCACCCCCTCCCCGATGGAGATGCCCCCCTCGGCTACTGCAGTCACTGCAGGACAGCCTCTCAAGGCGTCACACCAGTGAGGTACATAAAGACCGTGTGCTATGATGCTGCATCCAGGCCTGGGCTTTAGACATCCTTGGGCACAGGGGCTCCTGGAATCCCAGTACAAGGTGCGTTCACATTGCATTCGTCCACAGATGTGGAAGAATCAGCAATCAAGGATGCGCTGTCTTCCGGGTTTAGCGCTTCCTTTCCCCCTTCTCTGTTCGTTTTATGATCTCAGTGGGAAGGGGAGATCGTAGGCTAGAATCTGTTCTGAACAATATAAAAATCCTCCAGGTGAAAGAAGGAACTTCACAAGCAGTTACTGGGCGCTGGGCTTAGACCAGGAAGTGAGCAGAAGTGTCTGAAAAAGCAGAAGTCCTGCTCCGTCCAAATGGTGGTGCTGCCGCAGAGAAGCGGGTGACAGTCTTTACAAAAGTCAAAGGGTGAATGAAAGCAGTCGGGGGGGGCTTTCTTCTGTTAAATCCTAAGACCGTTTCCAGGCTAGAGGAAGCCCAGCCCGCCAGGACTCCTGCCCATAAGTGCTGTTGTGGCCGTCCCTGCTGTTACTGCTCTAACGGGGTTTTTGCTAAGAGTGGGAGAGCAGAGATCTAGGTTGTATTTTCTGGCAACAGCCGTGAGTGTAGATCCTAGTGTTGTCAGTTAACATGCCTTGACATCAAGCAGGCAGATAGGAGGGTCAGAAAAAGTAAGAGACTTGTACACAGGTGGGGGCCGGGTTCTCCCCTCCAAACCTCAGCCCCAAACAACGGTTCGGGAGAGGAGGTTAACTGAAAGAAAAGGGCCACCGGCCCAGGAACTGTGTGCCATCTGGCTGGGTGTTGGTTCCTTCTCTGGGAAGCCTTGTGATGCTCCAGGCCTTCCCTCTAGGATGTAGAGTAGCCGAGTGAGCATCTGGGAGCCCTCTGCGGTCCTCCAGGGAGCCCTCTGCGGTCCTCCAGGGAGCAAGCGCTATGGTACTCACGCGTCTGTCTGGGATCTGGGTGCAGCCCCG